CGTGGAAGTCTTGCGGGCGTGCCAATGACGAGAGTGAAGATGAAAGTGCATCTAGAGCAGTCAAACATGAGCACTGTGACTGTGCTTTTGCTCTTGAGCGAGTTAAGGAATGGGTTAATAAAATGGAATGCAGTACTACGTGGAAGAGTTACTCTGACGATGAGCTGACACAATCCATCGCTCGGAAAAGAAGTTGTAATATTCAGCTTTGTTTCCTGAGACGCTCCTCTTCAGCGCAATCTTGTGTGTCTCTGGAAAGATTGCCAATACTCAAATGTTCTTCGAGCGACTATATAGAAGGAAGACATCATTCTCGGGGACGTTCGCACTCCCTCTCTGTGGAGCCATGCAAGTTCGTTTTTCAAAGATCAGCATCAGTACCACCTTGGTGGAAGCCAATGTGTCATACGCTCAGTCCGCAATTTGCTCCGAGTTTGAGTCTTAGCGAATCACGCCGCGATCGACACATGTATCCGAGAAGATTGTCAGCTTGTCGTTGCCGTGTTTATGGTATCGGTGAAACATTCGCTGTGAGGACACTTTCAAATAGAAGAACGCAAGATACAAGCATTCGTGTGCCCACTTACAGAGAGGAGGAGTTGCCTTCTCCTTGGATAAAAAGGGATCACTTCGATCATGATTTATTGAAAGCAGTTCGTTTTTGGTTAGAGGAAAGGGTGCAGCGCCATATCCCTGTTGTGTGGTGTGCTAGAGCTGAAAGAGATTCACCCATGGTGATAGAAGAGATTGTCGATGAGGAAGAAACCGTGGAAACTCATTCCACCAGAATTACTGAACAACGCGAGTGTCCATTGGAGTATCCAATTGCCGTTTATAATCCACCTCCCAACTGGAACACTTTCATGGATTGGAAACGGAAGGAAAAGAATGTTGAAAAATTGAGTGAAGGCTTGGACCATTCAACTGAATTATCAGCATTTCAACGCGTCCTTCAAAGACCGCAACCAATCAATCTCAACAAACTTGATGCGCTTCTGGAGTCGGAAGACGAATCAGGAGAGGTGAGTTGTTTGATAATGTCTGAAAGAAAGGACTCCATTTTTTTTGTGTTGTACAATTTTAACAGTTTTGTTATGACATTTTTGACCGGACTTGACATTGTCGCTCGCGTTAAAACTGCATGGGCTCTTACACTTATTGTATTTTCTCTTACTGTTTAGGTTTGGGCAAAACTCGTGCATAGGTATTATCGGACAAATTGAGTTCGATCAACATACAGTATTGCAATGTAGGCATCACTGTAGAGGGAAGGTGAATGCAGGATAGAATTCCTTATTTTATAGCGGATCTGTCATGCTTAATGCAGTCATTTTTGAAAGTAACCAATATTTTTGCAAATTTGCGATAATCATGTTGATAGTGCTTGTCTTGGAAGATATACTAAAACTAAAAACAAGAAAGAATGCACGCTAGTGCGAAGTTTCTGGGTAGCATAAGTTTACGCTCATTTTGAGAGAGTAGCTACCAACCAGGCAAACATGCTAGTGCGGAGTTGCAAGGAAAAAAGAAAAAATCATATGCAATCCTTTAGG